GACTGATATAATTCCTAACCTAAAGTAAAAACTAAGCCAGATATATTCAAAGAAGGTCATTTTTTTTAAAGTATAGTTGATTTACAATATTTTATTAGCTTCAAGTGTACAGTATAGTGATTCAGTATTTTTATAGAACTTACTCCATTAAAAGTTATTACAAAATAATAATGTACAACATACATCTGATAAAGGACTTGTATGCGGAATATATGAAGAACTCTTACAACTCAATATTAAGAAGACAAAGCACCTGAATAAAACTGTGTAAAAGATTTGAACACAATCTTTACCAGGGAAGACGTATGAAAAAGATCATGCCGTGAAAAAAATACTCAGTGTCATTAGTTATTAGGGAAATGTAGGTTTAAATGAAAACGCGATACCATGGTACACATGCTAGCAGGGCTAAAATTTAAAATTTAAAACTGGATGTGGAGATCACCTGAAATTCTCACACATTGTTGGTGGGAAGGCAAAAATGGTATAACTACTTTGGAAAACAATTTATCAGATTCTTTTAAAGTTAAAAATAACACCATAATCCCCAGCAAGTCTATTTACCAAGAGGAAAAATATTTGCCTAAGTCCACTCAAAGGTGTGTACATAATTTTTCATAGCAGCTTTATTCATAATAGTAAAAATTTGTAAACAACTCAAATGCCCATCAAATGATGCATTGGTAAACAAATTGTGAAGTATTGTACCATTGAACACTACTCAGCAATAAAAGGGAATGAACTACCACTGCACACAACAAATTGGATGAATTTCAAAAGCAATATGCTGAATGAAGACAGATCAAAAGACAACATACTATAGGATTAAACTTATATGAAATTCTAAAAGAGGTAAAACGAGAGAGAGAGCAAGCAGACCATTTATTTCTTGGGACTAGAGGTGGAAGGAGGGTGTTGGCTGCAAAAGAGCGTAAGGGAGTTTTTTTGTTTTTTTTAACATTTTTTATTGATTTATAATCATTTTACAATGTTGTGTCAAATTCCAGTGTTCAGCACAATTTTTCAGTCATTCATGGACATATACACATTCATTGTCACATTTTTTCTCTGTGATTTATCATAACATTTTGTGTATATTTCCCTGTGCTATACAGTGTAATCTTGTTTATCTATTCTACAATTTTGAAAGGAGTTTTTTTAGGGTGGAGGATGAAGATATTCTATTTCTTGATTATGGTAGTGTTTACAAGACTATACATTTTTCAAAACTCAATGAACTCATTAATTTAAAATAGGCAAATTTTATTGTATACATGTTATACCTCAATAAAACTAATTTTTTAAAGACAAAAAGGTTTTAATTTTATTCCTGATATCTCAACCCTATTATATCCCTCCACCTGGAGTTATCTCTAAATACATAAAGATGCCCCTCCTTAGGGTTGTATCATTTCATTCCCCTACCGGCATAACCTCACCACAGTATTGGCTTATGGTAGGTTTTCAAGCTGTTAGATTTTGCTGTCTGATAGAAATGATTTTACCCTATGCTAATTGATAAACAATTTCTCAATTTAATTTTTCTTATTAGAGTTTGAGCATCTTTTATGTAGTTAACAGCCATTTGCACAGCTTTTCCCGTTTCTCTGTAGGATTGCTGATCTTTTTATTCTCTATTTTAGTAGCTTTTTATATATTAACATATCATTGCTTTGTCTTAAAAGGTTGCAGATATTGTTTCTAGGTATTCATTTGTGTGTCAGCTATGCTTTTGTGTCTCTGCCATGAGCACTTACTTATGTAATCAAAATTTGTAATGTTCCCTTATTAATTCTGGATTTTGAGGTATAGTTAGGAATGATTTCCTCTCCCAGATCATAAAGAAATTCAATTTTTACATCTAAATATCCATCCCATTTTGAACAGTTACAGGTAAGGTATAAAGAATGAATACAGGTCTATCTGTTTCCAGGTGGCTGTCCTGTTATCCCAAAACCACTTGTTGAAAAGTGCCTATTCTCCCACTCATTTTAGGAACTTCATTTATGATACACTTCATTTCCATATGCAATTAAGTCTATTTTTAGGTTTTCCATTTTGTTTCTTTCAATTCTTTGTATATTAATTCATCAACGTCACGTAGTTTTACTTATGTCCTCTTTATAGGATGTTTTCATGCCTTCTATAACTCTCAGTAATCTTCTGTAATCCTCTTCCATTGCTCTACTTTTTAAAATGTTTCCCTGACTCTTCCTGCATTTTTGCATATCCTTTTTCCAAAAGAATTTTGTTATCAGTTTATCTAGATCAAAGAGGACTGGTATTATTTGTATCTAGATTGCATTGAATTTACAAATTAACTTAAGGAGAACTGACATCTTTATGATGTTGTGATTTCTAATTCAAGAACATGGTTCAAGTTTTTCCATTTGTTCAAGTCTGTATTTGTGTCTTATAGGAGAGCTTTATACTTTTCTTCACATAGGCTTTGGACATCTCCTTTAAATGTGTGGATTTTTTTTGTTGGTCCTTTTCGCTTACCTTTCATTTATATGTAAAAATACTATTGACTTTTACATGTTAATTTTATAAATGGCTATTTTACTTTTTTTTTGTGGTGGCTTTTCCATTAAATCTTTTGGGTTCTAATATACAGTAAAATCATCTGTAAAAATATACAGTCTTACTTTTTGTTTTTGTTTTTGTCTTTATTTTAACTTTTTGTGGGGGTGTTAATTAGATTTATTTATTTATTTTTTAGAGGAGGTGCTGGGAATTGAACCCAGGACCCCATGCACTCCAAGCACATACTCTACAACTTGACCTATATCCTCCCCCAACAGTTTTACTTTTTTCTTCCCAATTTTTAAGTGTCTAATATACCATTCTTTCAGGTAATTGCATTGGTTAATACCTCCCACATAATGTAAGATAATAAGAAAGTACTTTCCTAAAATGTTTTGGAGTTCATTCTGAGAAACACACCTGCAAAAAATCTTAATAATATCATATCCCAATATCACAGAGAACTCTTTTTGGTGAACGTTATAATCTTAAAACAACTGTAAGATGTACAGATATTTTCTTTAATACTATTACTTACTGAATAAATTTTTTTCCAAACGGAAGCACAGGCTCATTCTCATATATTATTGGAGGAACTGAGATAACATTTGCAGCCCCGAAGTCAAATAACAGATCCCATTTGTCTTATCTTTGCTGTGATCCAAGATAAAGGTGATTTCTTACATCTCTCTCATCCCATCATATGCATGCCATGTACATAAAGCACTCAAGAATAATCATACCATTTTGTGATCCATCTTTAACTCTGACCAAACCAACTTGGATGTTTTAATAGCTCCCACTGTAACTTGAACATTTGTTTATTCCCCAAACAGCAGCTGGTCTTTTTCATGCCATGTAATTTATTGAGTCAATTCATATCAATACAGATGTTATTAATACAAAGGTCTCAGAGATTTTGAGCCTTCTTTACCTATAAATTAGACAGAGGGTTGATCTGACGTCACTCTGGAGCAATTGTCACTGCCTTCAGGAACTAGTTGAGTAGTAGAATATCAATATGTGAGTGGAAAGGATCCTAAAGTTGCCTAGATCAACCCATTCATGTTACATGTGAGGAATCAAAGGTACCAGTTGATGCAGCAAATTATCCAATCTCATACATCTAAGACAAGATTTGAATCCACATTTTCTCAATCCCAGGTCACCGCTATTTCAGCTACACCAGTTTAAGGGAGAGCTGGGCTGATACCCATTTAATATTAGGTATGTGGGTACAGAAACAAATTTAAAAGTTTCTAACATGGGAAAATCATAAGAATAATGTGGAGTTAAAGGGCAAAAAATATGGGAACAAAAAGTCAGAGTGTGGGTAATTGCATGTATAAATTGGTTTAGTCTGGGAACAATTCATTTAGAATGTATACTTACTGCGATAAGAAAGGGAAGGGAAGGAAAAAAGAAAAGCTTGGTTTAGTGGCAAGGTGAAAGGGGTTCATCATGCATTTTAAGGGCACATCTTTTCAACTGGCTTTCAGTGCACTTTGTAAAGTCTGCTCAGATCTCAGTAAGAGTTTCCCTCAACAGTCTAGTTTTAATGTTGACATGTTATACTACATAACTTCTCCTAGGTTCTCCATTACAATCCACTGTCTCTACATAAACCCCTCTCCTATCTGTTCAAAGTGAACTCTGGAAACAGGAAGAGTTTTCTCTTTCAGACTGTTTTGGTGAAAGTCTATAAAATACAGCGGTTAAAAAATGTCTGACTTCAGGCAGCATGGTATTTAACAAAGTCTATTTAAAATACATGGACATGTGTGAAACCGTCAGGCTTTAACCGCATCATTTTCACTAGCCTTTGAAAATGTATGGCCTTGGTGGCATAGACAGGGTCATTCATGTCTGTGTGACTGAAATGAAGAACTAAGAATAAGAGGCTACTTCATTTTTACTCTGAACAATCTCCATTAGAAAACTGAGACAGATTATGTTTCTCTGTACCTGTTTCCCTCATGTTGTATTCCTTTATCCTTCCCACTACGAGAAACCATTGCCCACAGTCCTTTGCACCATTATGTTCCCACTAATGATCAATCGTGATTCTCAAACATTGTTCATCCAGCCTTTCCCTGTCGTCATGATGTTTTGACAAAGGTTCCCATTCCCTCCACCTTCAAAACTTGTTAGCAGCTGGTTATGAAAATTTTTAAGTTCTTTTTACAAACTGAGGAGTAAATATTCAAAGAGCTGAATTTTTTATTTATTTTGTGAAGATTTGCACCTTTCTTGTAAGCAAATTGCTAGGTTATATGAATTAATCTTGAGCTGAATCAGTTAAGACATCTGGAAATGCCGTGGGGGAAATACTTGATAACCATGAGCAGGAGAGTGACACAGCAGGGTGGTGGGCAACCACTACATTGTTTTATGCAAAAAAACCCCCAAAAACCTCACTTTGTGTTTGATCACTGTATTTTTCCTAGTTCTCCTCCATTTGGAAATATTAGAGTCCTTCTCAAAATCAGAGTGAATGGCCTGGAATAATCAGTCAGTTGTAACTGAATTCATCCTATGGGGTCTCTCCAGTTCTTGGAAAGTCCAGGTCTTCTATTTCCTGTTTTTCTCTGGGGTCTATGCAGCCACTGTACTGGGGAACCTCTTCATTGTTCTCACCATCGTGTCAGAGCCACGCCTTCACTCCCCCATGTACTTCCTGCTGGGCAATCTCTCCTGCATTGACATGTCTCTGGCCTCCTTTGCCACCCCCAAAATGATTGCAGATTTCCTCAGTGAGCACAAAGCCATCTCGTTTGAAGGCTGCATCACCCAAATGTTCTTCCTACATCTCTTAGGGGTTGCTGAGATTGTGCTGCTGATATCCATGTCTTTTGATAGTTACGTGGCTTTATGTAAGCCTCTATGTTATTTAACCATCATGAGCCAGAGAACGTGTGTGGGGCTTGTGACTCTTTCCTGGATTGTTGGCATCTTCCACACTAGGAGTCAGTTAGCATTCACTGTGAATCTGCCCTTCTGTGGACCCAACGAAGTGGATAGTTTCTTTTTTGATCTCCCCTTGGTGATTAAACTCGCCTGCGTAGACACATACATTCTGGGAGTGTTCATGATCTCAACCAGTGGCATGATTGCCCTGGTATGCTTTCTCCTCTTGGTGATCTCCTACACATTCATCCTGGTCACCATGAGGCAGCGTTCCTCTGGTGGGTCCTCCAAAGCCCTCTCCACTTGCAGTGCCCACTTCACTGCTGTGACTTTTTTCTTTGGCCCGTGCATTTTCATCTGTGTGTGGCCTTTCACAAATTTTCCAATAGACAGAGTGCTCTTGGTATTTTATACCATTTTCACTCCCCTCTTGAATCCAGTAATCTATACTCTCAGAAATAAAGACGTCAAGGATTCCATGAGAAAACTTAGCAGCCGTGTCTTTAAGTCTAGGAAGACTGCTCATACCCCTTGATTTCCTCGTACAAAAATGAGCATTTATCCCCCTCACTCAGGGGGTCGATAAAGTGATTCTTCTGCAAGAAATCACTAATTCATGGCAGAACTATTTCTGTAATCAGGCTCAGCAGTCACTGAGTTTCAGTTATAATAAGAGTTCCTCACACAATATATTTATTATGGAGCATTATCAAACCTATACTCAAAATTTTACCTCACAAGGACTCGCTTTTTAGAATGTTCAGTTCTTGTCAGATGTAAGCATTTATTTGAGTATTGAGTATTCATATGCTTTAAGAGGAGATTTCCCATCAGTCTCTTACGATCATCTCTAAGTAAAGGGGCAAGTGTGAAAGTACCAATACCAGTTCACTGAAGTAACAATGGAATTTTTTATTGCTGACAAAGGTGCTGATGAATCCATTATTTTAGTTCAAAAGTCAAAAAAATGGAGGGTTCCTCATAAGTGAAAATATTTGCTGTTTAATATTTTTGTGTCCTGTCTTTAGTAAGAATAAGAATAAATAAATTATTTATTTCAGTCCCTAAGTTTCTTAGAGTGGGTTTCACAAGTTTAAAACAGTATAGTAAATTCCAGGAAAATCTCTAAAGTCTGATCCATATAGAAAGAGTCTAGATTCTAGAGTCATATACAACAAATCCCATCCACATTCCCATTCTGCAGAAGATGAAACTGTGATTCAAGGGCACAGTAGTTTTTTCAAGGTCATGC